CCTAGTGCAATGATGTCACTTCTGGGCGATGTCATCGCGGCGAGCATGCTATGCGTACATGCCAGAACATCCTGGGAGAAAAGTATCTCCTCCCTGCCAGAAAAAGGTAGGGACCCAGCAACTCTAGAGGGACTGGAGTGGAGGGGACTGGATATCCTTCAGTCCAGAAGTCAGGTGCCTCTGAACTTCCACCCCTTCTCACCCCATAGCCACCATGATAGCTATAACCAGGGCTTTTTTCGTAGAAAAAGCCCAGCAGGAACTCATTAGCATACTAGGCCACACCCAACAGCAGAAATTCATTAGCATATTAAGCTACACCCCCATGCCTTCTCTTGGCTTGCCTGGGCACCCCGCGCCTGTGGAGAGCCCGGGCAAGCCGGCACTTGGACAGGCATGGGGAGGCATTTAAATGCCTCCCTGATCCTTCCAGGGGGCCCTCTGGTCTGCCCGCCTCGAACTCAGGGGGGGTTTGCTCTCCAGGCCTTCCCTCTGTAGCCACGCACGCAGAGGTTTTGGCTGTGGTGGGCGTGGCCAACTCTGAAGCCAGCCGGAACTCCGTTCCTGTGCGTTCCTGCCCAAAAATAGCCCTGGCTATAACTTTCCCCAAGAAGCCTGAAGTTCAGGAGCTGGCTGTGAGAAAGCCAGCCATGAGTTAATGGTTAGTGGCTGTTATAATCCCACAATGACTGCCTGGAGGAGACAACTTTAATAAATGTCTGAGACGAGTGCTCTGTTGCGGATGGAACGGTCTCTCTCTTTTTGACCTGTTCCTTAATTTCACCTTGTGCTTCATCCGCCTTTTGTAACATGGAACGTTTCTTCGGGGGAAGAATGAGTCATCCTTCCAGAAGGGGAAAAAAAGAGGGGGTGAAGGTCAGGAAACATAGCAAGAAGTGCTCATGAATTGGGGGGGGGGGAACAAAGTCCATAGAAGCAAGATATGCTGGATGTGGGATTTCTGTCCTGAGAATATGGGGAGGAGCACAGGGTGAGAGGGGGAAGGGAGGGAACATTTTTGCAGTTTTGTATTTTACCAGAGTTTTGCAGCTGGCTTACAACAGGCAAACCTGGGACAATGCCAGGATATGGTGATTGTTGTTGTTGGTGGAGGGGGGGGGGGATATTGCTTGCATTCAGACATTGCAAGCTGCAATTCAACCGTTCAACAGAGATTGGGCCCGAACACAGGTTGTTGATTTAGTTGCCTGCCTCCTAGCTCCTCCCACCTCCCTCCTCTCTTCATGCACAGACCTTCATTCAAACCTTATCAGTTTGATTAAGCTCCCATTCGCCATGGCACCTTGGGAAACCAGAATCTGTTTCTTTCCCACAAGCTGGGATTCCAGAGAGCCAGACTGGTGTAATGGTTTGAAGGTTGGACTAAGATCTAGGAAAGCCACGTTCATATCCTTACTCTGCCAAGAGGCTTGCTGGGTAACCCTGGGTCACTTTCTTTCTGCCTGACTGACTCCAAAGAATTGTTGCTGTAGGGATAAAGGTGGGGAGACAATTGCACACACCACCCAACGCTTCTTGGAAAGATCCTAGGCTAAAAATGGACTAAACTGGGGCTTAGCCATCACTTTTTGTGAAGGTTGAATACAGCTTTGGGGGCTGTACCCAACCACACAGTGAAGCAAACTTAAGTGCCTTTATGTCTTCGGAGTTAGGTTGGATGCTGGCCTTGTGCACTTCCGCAGGGCCTGCAAGACGGAGCTCTTCCGCCAGGCTTTCGAGTAGGAGCTGCCACTACCACGACCATCACTACCACTACCCTCACCACCAACAACAACTGGTTTGGGCAACAGCAGGGTGTGGAGATGGCCCTGTGACGAGCGAACCACAGCGCGACCTGGAGCTGATACCACTGAACCACCCTCTTACTGAAGACTGATTTTGAAACATCCAGAGCACTTTGTAATATCGTAAATGATTGTTTTATCTTGTTTTTAATTTTGTTTTTATGTATTGGCATTAGTGCCCTATTTGTGAGCCGCCCTGAGCCCGCTTGCGGGGAGGGCGGGCTAGAAATTTAATGATAAATAAATAAATGATAAATTGTCTGAAAACCAGAAGCGCTTTGCTGGCCGGCCTGCCCACTCCCCACCCATGCTAAACGTGTATAACGTTTCGTAAACACTGCCCTCAGAGCCCTATGATAACAAGGAACAACAGGAATAACTTAAGAAATTAAATGAACATTGCAAAGACACTTTCTGCTATTCTCTCTTCACTTGGAAACAATCCCTAGAGAGAGCTGCCTCGAAACTACCCAGGGAAGTGGGAGAACATACCTCCCCAGACCATGTCCCGGGTTTCAGCAGAAATGCTAGGGCCAGTCATATCTCCAGTTAGAGCTTGTGGAACCTGAGTGAGAGGGTGGACGAGGAGCTGCAGCTCAGTGGGAGAACATCTGCTTGGCATGCAGAAGGTCCCAGGTTCAGTCCCTGGCATCACCACTTAAAAGGATCACATCAGAGGTGCTGTGAAAGAGTTCTGCCTGAGATACTGGAGAGCAGCTGCCAGTCAGAGTAGGCAATATTGACTTTGATGGACCAATTGCCCGACTCAGTATAAGACAGCTTCATATGTGTTGTCAGGGTGGTGACTGGTGCAGGGGGGTTGCACAGTTATGCTGTTGACAGTGTGCCGATCACAGTGCGACAGTAGGAATAGAAAACTAATTTATTAATCTTTTCTCTTTTTTTTCTTTTTGCTATGTACAAGTTTAATGGAGAAATCTTTTGCGTATGAAAACAGTTAAAAAGAAGAGGGTTTGTGTCTCATTTCCGGGTTTTTTGAACTTTAACATTTTTGACAGTTAATAGGGTTTGGGTTGTCGACCCAGCTACATCGGTCATGCGTCTTGTCTGAGCATCGTTATCAGGCAGGGCGGAGAAGAGGGGGGCAACGGGCACCTCTCCGGCTCCTTGTCCTGGTTGGTAATTACAAAAAACACACCGCTGAAAGTGACAGCCCGAGACGTGGGCTTTGACAAAATGCATGCCATGGTAGAGAAGAAGAGAGAGAGAGAGAAAGAGAGAGGCGGCGGCGGCTGGGAAATGTGGAACAAAAATGCACAAACACCATTGTACTGCCATACAAAAGAAGTCAACCCTCTTTGGTAAGCCTAGAGACCCCCCCCCCCCCCCCGCCCCTCCTGCACTTGCTCATACTTATAAATCTGAGTTCTAAACAAACTGAGGTTGTAAACCTAAAACAAAGCCTGGCACAATTTCTGGTTATCTCTAACCACCTTAGTTAACTGCGGTCTGGTCTCCATGTATGCAGACAGCCTACTGTTCGTATTGGGTGCCGGGAGGCAGTAACATGGGAGGCCATCGTGTCCTGTTCCAAGGGTTCTTGGAGGTATCAGGTTGAGCACTGTGGAAAACAGGGTACTAGACTAGACCGTCCTTTGGTCTGATCCAGCAGAACTACTTATATTTTCAGCTCCCCAAGCATAATTAAAAAGAAAAAGCTGGTCAACTCAGTACTTGGAATGAGATAATAGATTTCTGAACTGCTTCATTTTGTAGGGGCAACGGTTGCATTCAAGGCCTTTTTGTAGAAAAAGCCCAGCAGGAACTCATTAGCATAATAGGCCACACCCAACAGCAGAAACCCATTAGCATATCAGGCCACACCCCTGACAGCACAGCTCATTGGCATATTAGGCCACTCCCCCATGTTACCAGAAGTGTGCTCATCCAGCCACACCCACCTGTTGCTTCTTATTCTGTTTACCTTGTTTGTTGTCCAAACCCAGGGCTTTTTTGTAGCAGGAACTCCTTTGCATTTTAGGCCACAAACCCCTAATGTAGCCAATCCTAATGAGTTTCTGCTATTGGGTGTGGCCTATTATGCTAATGAGTTCCTGCTGGGCGTCCAACTTGGAAGCCAGCCGGAACTCTGTTCCTGTGCGTTCCTGCCCAAAAATAGCCCTGGTTGCATTTACAAATGCTCCCCCATGTACAAAAAATGGCCCAGCAAGCAGTAAACTAGCACATAAGAGAGATGTGCAACTTTGAAACATGCAAGGAGATTTTTTTTAATGTGGGGGTGTATTAAAAAAACAACCCTTGGAATCTGAAAGGGTACAGTTGAGGAGTCTACCATTTTAGACTAATATGCCTCCATCTGCAACAATGAATAGACCAAATCTTAGATTTGATTTGTTGTATTTACCCAGAAAGGAAGACTAGTTTTTTCCCCAGGTGTGCCATCAAGAAAAAGAGGGGGCCATTTTACATTCACATACAAGTTACAAGTATGTTAGGGTCACGAGGCCTTTGCTCCCCAGGAGTTGTTTGGGCACAGGGCCTGGGGGAGGGGGAAGCTTTGCTGATGCTTTGATGTCACTTCTGGATAAAGACCCAGAAGTGACATCACAGTGCTCTGTGTCGTCCCAAACTCTGTGGTAAATACCATCGAGATTTGGCCAGTCCCTAGAGCGTCATGCGCATGGGAGGAAGCTTTGTCGTCAAAGAGACAGTAGAGCTGTTCCCTCTCCATTTCCCTCCTGCTGCTCTAAGGAGCAAGTATGGGTAATGGAGGATGGGCACTGGAGTTTGAAATATATAACTTTTTTAGGGAATCACCTTCCCTTTGGATAAATATGGGTAAATGGGACACTAGCTAGGTCCAAGCACACTTCCATGGGACTCTGCACTTGCATAGCATCTTATTCAAACTGGACTCCTAGCTATGCAAAACATTTAAATCAGGCCTCAGTCTCTGTCCCATCAGTCCCAGTTGCAAGGAAACATGTGTCATACTAGGCTGTTAGGACTGCTGAAAAATTACTATATCATTTGGATTATTCCGAAGAAACGCTGCCCTTTTACTTTGATGGCAAGGGTTGGCTGACTGAAATGCAGGCAGCCAGGAAGGCAAGGCTGGGACCAAGGGTTGACTTCTTTGGTGGTGGCAGATCTGAAACCGATTCACTACGTGTTGACGTTATGGAGAAAAAAATCCAGAGGAAGTCCATCCATCTAGATCTCATTCTGCTCCTTCAGGTCATCATCAAAGCCATCGTAGTCAACAGATCGTGGGGACATCCCAAGGTACTGCTTCAGGAACTCACTAAACCTTTTCTGGTTATGCCACTTCCGGGCTGACTTTCGGACGCCGATGAAGCCTCCATACCGTTTCTGAAGCTCTTGCACGGCAGGTTCTGCCATCGGCCCATAACCAAATGGTCCACTCAGAAAACCACCCAACCTCTTGGGAATCTCAAGCTGGTCTTGTAAGTCCCCCAGGGGTGCTTGGCTTCCATCACTGGCCCCTTCTTCTGCCTCCGGCTGGCGGACGAGACCTCTCACTTTGGAAACCTGCTTCTCGTCTTCCACCTTGCTGAGATCCACCATTCTTGTCAGGTCGCCCAGGTGTTTGAGGTTGCCTCTGCCTCTGAGCAGGCCGCCATCCCACATCTCCAAGGGCCGATTAGCTGCTTCTTCTAGACTGTCAAGACCCAGTGGCAAGGAGGCCTTCCCGGTTGCTTGGCTGCAGAGTCCCCAGGTGGCGCTAGAAAAGAGCTTCCCTTCACATTCCATGACACAGATCTGTAGAGAGGAAACCATAGTTAAGGGGATCTTTCATTACAGGGTGGTCAGAGTGAAATTAATCTGCTTTCTCTTTGGGGAAGAAAATATAAGAAAGTGCATTTTTCACCTGCAGGCTATTTTAAAATGAATTTTTGTTTCTTTTAGACTAGCCGTTTAAGTAAAAGAAAGAAGGGGGTCTAACTTAAGGGACAAACTACAGGTTATGTTCTTTGCTGAGTTTGGTTGGGGTTCCTTGGACTCTACTCGCTTTCTTCTGTTGTCACACAGCAGCTGTGGGGAAAGGCATTCTGAAACCTCCCAGGAACCCATTTCTGTTCAGAACTGTGGTGTGGATGGAGGAGGGGCTCCTCCCTTCTCCACCATGCTGTTTCCTCAAGCCAAAACAGCCCCTACTAGCCATGGTGAGTAAAAGGAAGCTCCAAAAATCAGAGGCAGGAAGCCCCTGAATACCAGTGCTAGGAGAAAGGTCTTGGCTTCTATACCCTATTTGTCAGCCTTCCATAGCAACTGGATGGTCACTGGCTGCGGTCACAACACACTAAATAATCCACTTTCAATGCACACTTTCCAACTGGATTTTGCCAGTTCACATAGTAAAAATCCAGTTGGAAAGTGCACTGAAAGTGGATTGAAAGTGCATTATTTAGTGTGTTGTGACCGCAGCCACTAAGTAAAACAGAAATTCTGCACCACCGGTTTGACCCAGCAGGACTCTTCTTATGTTGTTAAGTACTGCTTTGAAGATACAAGAATGGAATGGTCCTTATAATTCAGTAAGTTTCCATCTTTGTCGTTCCTTGGGGCACATGGTACAGAAAAAATAAGTATATAGCTAGATCATTGCAGAATTTGCAGACCTGTATGTTTAATCTGCACAGAATTCAGAGGCAGCTGGTTCAAAGGATTTTGCTCCAGCTCAAGCAAAAGAAAACAATTACCTTTAACAATAGAAGGGGGTCTAGAATGTTTGACTTTTAATGACCTCCTGCTGATAATTCATTTCTGTTTGCCCAAAGAAGAAAGTAAAGCGGGAGCTACAGTTACTGTCTCACAAAAGAATCTGGAGGAAGTCAGTGATCCTCTGTCAGTGCCTATTGGTCATAAATTAACTGGGGGGGAGGGTGAGAAAAGATGAACTTATTAAAAAAGAATCCTCCTTCCCATCAGCATGAGAATTAAAATGGTCCTTGTTTATAGATCTCAGGATCTTCTAGATCAGGCGTAGGCCAACTCCCTGTATGTGTGCCAACAGGAGCACACAGGTTCATTCTGTTTTGGCATCCAGGGCCAGATCTCCGCCCAGTCACCCAAGGCATGGGACCAGTGGTGTGGGAGAAGGCAACAGGAATGACTTGTCCTCATCATCACCCCTCAGACTGGAGCTTTACCACATTCTCATTTCCTTGCTTGTGTGTTCCTGTTGCTTGGAGGGGGGGGGGGTCTGTTCTGCACATGTTTTGCTCCCTCTACATTGATTTATGTGCAACATAAAAATCTGCAGGGAGATATGTGGGGCAGAAACGGATGTAATATCGAATCGACCACTAGAGGGAGGACAACACATGCAGAACAGACCCCCAACAACAGGAACACATAAACAAGGAAAATGAGAATGTGGAAACGCCTCTGCACAGTCACCAGCCAAGTCTAAGGCAAATCCCTGAGATGCTGGCAACACCACTGGAGCTTGGCTTGTTCCCATCATGTCTGGCCAAATACAACCCTAATTGCACCATTTTCTGGCACACCAACATCTTCGCAACTAGACATCACCCCCCCCCCCACACACACACACTGGGGTGAAAAAGTTTTCTTACCCCTGTTCAAGGGCACAGCAAGATGTCACCCCCTCCCGTGAACTCAGTCTCTTTGTCCCATGCTGTCTGGAATTGATTGTTACCTGACTCTAGAATTGCTAAAAAGGGGGTGGGTGGAGGAACCTTTTTGTGAATTTGCTTTGTTGGTTCTTGGGGAGATTAAAAGAACTCTGAAACGAGAACTACATGTGTGAACAGGCAGATTTTTATGAAGTCAGAATTCTGTAGTGCTTTCTCTTCCAAAAGAGAAGGGTGGGGGAAACACAGAAATTCCTGGAGCATTTTAAATGCAGAGCTGTTGGAAATAAATAAAAATTGCACAGACTCCACACAGTGCATGTGGTTATATCTTTTGAAATCAGGAGATCAGCTTACAGCAGTGTCTACAAATTCATTGCGAGCAGAGAGACTCCCTTGATTTCAGGGAAACCTCCATACATATTATTGCATGCCCTTGCATGGCATCCTAGTGCCTTGTTTCCAAATACATTTCCTTGGCCTTTTTACCCTCTTTGACAGCAACTGCTGCTTACAAACAGCTCCCTCCCTGAAACATCTTGCTGCTTCAAAGTGATGAGATGCTTTTTAATTCCTAGATAAGAGGACAGCATTACGAGCCATATGCCATTCTGCCCAGTTAATTGGCTGCTAGGAATGAATGAATACCAATGAATAGACAATCAAGGTTAAATTGGAATGCAGGTCACTGCTTCCTGTTAGAGTGGGGGACAGAAGGTTTCTTCAAGCCAGAGAAAGTCTAAGTTTCTGCAGCTGGCTGGCAAGAGGCTCTATTGGGGGCTGCGCCAAAGGCATCTGCAGAAGTAATTGGGAGAGGGGCAAGGTCTGTGAATTGTAAGTGCAGATCACCTGACGGCTTGCAGTCTTTATACCATGAAATTTAGGATTTGGAGGGGGCAACTGCCCCCCCCCCCGCACGCATGAGCATTCCTGTTTCTTTGTGGAGTGGCAGTCTATCAGCACTTCCTCCTCCCATGACACTGAACCTTGTAAAAGTAGGGAGGATGAACCAATATTTTCTGGACCATCTTTCATTCTGGGGTAGGTCAGAAACATTCCAGGGCCCAAGCAATTACAGAGCAACAGTTGAGTCAGGAAGGCCGTCCGGGAACCTGCCTGGCTAGCATGACTCATCCGGTGTGTGCACCCTATGCATTACTCCCCAGGACCATAATCAGGACCATCGATCGAGAAAGCTACAGGCTGCTCTTGCCCCCCCCTCCCTCCCTCCCTCCCTCCCTCCCTCCCTCCCAGTGTGGCCATCACATGTCTCTTCTCTCGGGTGGTGGGCAGCTTGCAGAAGGCCTGCTCTTTCTGCAATGTCCTTGGCAGTACCTTCAAGGTGGAGCCCATTACGGGAGGAACTCGTCAAAAGGCTGAAACGAGGAGGCCGTGCAGCGTGGCACGGAGTGAAGAGGCTCTCCAAATGAATCTTAATGACCCATCCATTGCATTACTTAATTGTGCAGGAGAGCTCTTGCCAGCGCCGTGCAGAACTTGGCCCTGTTAACTGAAGCTGATGTTCATTCACTCCTTCGCTCAATCACTCACTCACTCATTCATTCAGTCCTGGAGCCAAGCTGCCGAGTAATGACGTTAGGAGGAAGGAAATGTGCATCACCCAAGGTGACAGATTATATTTATCTTTTAAAATGTGTATAACTAAATCACCTTTCTCTAACACCTAGGGTGCTTAGACACAGATGAAAAAGAAACAAAACCCAACCAGCAACATAAAATATCTAGATAAAAGTATTGTATAAAGACACATAAATGCTCAACAACACATAAATGCTCACAGGCTCAACAAGCCTAGACATCTGACATTTTTCATACCCTGATGATACTATTCAACCAGTGCCAGTCTAAGTAGTTTTGGCACCCTTCCAAGTCTATCAAGTCAATGGACTTAGAAGGGAGTGATGTCTGCCAGTGGCATACCAAGGTGGGATGGGGGTGCGGTCCACCCCGGGCACAGCTTGAGGAAGGCCCTTGAAGGGGCCTTTTAAGCCAGTGTCATGCTGTGTTCAGCAAAACATCCTTCCTTTTATTTTTAAAATGCAGTTCTGGCGCAGGAAAGTCTGAGCATAGCAAAAAGCATTCTAGGATTGGCTAGATGTCCCTTCCTTCAAGACTGAAGCAAACTTCCTTAACAGATCATACAACCAAGCCGGCATGCTGAAAGCTGCTACAGTGATTGTCAGCCTACAGGTCATTTTTTCCAATAGTCTAGCCCAGGGGTGTTAAACATATGGCCCGTGGGCTGGAACCGGCCCATCCAGGGCTCTTATGCAGCCTGTGAGCAACTGATTACTTTTATTATCAGGTGACAGAGGCTGTGCATTATGTCCCTATATACTGTCCCAGTGCTAATATGTAATGGGCAGTGGAAGTGGGAGGGTGGGCATCAGGGAGATATTATAAGGAAATACTGTAAAAGTGTTAATGATTTAAGTATGTTTGTATTTTGAGTAGAAAATAATATTGTTAATTGGGTTTGCCTGTATACTTTATAAAGTTTATATCTCCGGTAATGGCATTACATTTTCTGGCACACATGGTTTGGCCCAACAAAGTGACATTTATGTCAGATCCGGCTCTTGTAACAAATGAGTTTGACATCTCTGATATATACGAAGTTAAATAAAAGAAAATTTTCACTGTCTGCGTTTCTTTTCTGGCCATTGAAACAAAGTTTGAATCAAGTGGCACCTTTAAGACCATACTTTGTTCTGTTGCTTTAGACCAGCACAGCTACCTAATTGAATCTATTTTCTAGCCATTATTATGATTTTTTTTCATTATTATTACTGAAAATAATTTTGTCATTTAGAGGAGGGGCCCTGACCTGGAGGCAGGCAATGGCAAACCACCTCTGAACATCTCTTGCCTTTCATATCCTTACAAGGTCACCATAAATCGCTCTGACTTGACTGCAAAAGAAGAAAAAAGAAAAAGGAGGGGGATGTTGAAAAATTATCAGCTCCGGGCGCCAAGTAGGCTGGGTAAGCCACTGATGTCTGCTTAAGGAGGCACAGAAACTCTTCTTTGTTCAATGGGAGCACTGATAGATGTGGCTACGTTCATTCCCAAGGCAGATCATGTGGCAACGCAACCTTGATGAATGCAAGCAGATTTGTCCGTCCGGCTCCATTCAACAGGAAAAAGAGAGGAAGGGAAAAGGGTGGGAAATCAATACTCCTCCAAATGGGCAGAAAAAGAGAAGAAATGTCCCTCACAAGTGTGATCAATAGGAGAGGAAGAAAGGTTGTGATAAAGAGAATGTTGTTTGCGTTCCTCTCTTTATCTCTAAGCTTTTTTGTGTGTGTTAGCAGCCATGTCTTTTCCTTGGAAGGAGGCTGAGATCAATTCGAGACACTTTCAAGTGTATCAAGAAAATGGTGAGGGCTTAAAGGTCCTTGTCCAGAAATAAATTAGCCATGACCCCGAGATGGAATGTAGCTGCGGCACTGGTTTGTTTGTTTTTTTAAACTTATTATTACTTTCAGGGGTCATTTCCTGCAGGAGCGCACAGGAGCGGAGCTCCGGCAGTAAAAAGCCCAGGGGGCGGGCACATGCAACAAGCCCCACCCCCTGCTCCCAGCAGCCCTTAGTCAGAGCAAGAAGCAGCCAGGTAAGCTGCAGAGCCCCCCGGCCCCCTGGTCCAAAGCAGTCCAGTGGAATCTTTAAGACCAAGTTTTATTCAGGTACAAGCTCTCCCTCCTCTGTGAGGACAGATCTGCACGTTCTCCCCCCCCCCAAATAGCTAGCAATCCAAAACAGTCCAGTAGAGCCTGAGCGGTGGGTGTTGCCTTCTGACACACTTCCGGTGATGTCAGGGGGTGTGGCATATGCAAATAAATTATGCTAATAGGTTATGCTAATGAGCTCCTGCACCTCTTTTTCTATGAAATGACCGCTGATTGCTTTGATATTTACACTCCACTTTTAGGCCTGACCTGGATGGCCCAGGCTAGCCTGATCTCATCAGATCTCAGAAGCTAAGCCGGGTTGGCCCTGGTTAGTACTTGGATAGGAGACCACCTGGGAAGTCCAGGGTTGCTATGCAGAGGCAGGCAATGGCAAACCACCTGTGTTCATTTCTTGCCTTGAAGACCCTATGATGCTACCGTTAAGTTCGCTGTGAGAGATGTGCAGATGACTCCACATTCCTGGCAGAAAACAGGATTACAATCAAGAAGACAAAATTAATGACTACTGGGGAATTACACAACGTTAAGGCCGGTGTACACTGAAATTGTTCAGGATTTTCTATGGATAAGAGCCAGCCGAGTCTGCAAGCCAGAGAACCTTTTGGGATTACTTACAAGAAGACTGAAGTCATCCTGGTGACTGTACAAGTGTCTGTGGCAATTCAGGCAGTCCCTCCGGCAGTCGCTGAGAGCATAGGCAAGCAGGCTGAACAACCAGACACCCCATAGGAGGATCCTCATGGTGTCAATCTCAAAAAAACCCCAAAACCTGTAGAAGAAACAGGGAGAAAGTGGTAAAGGGGTGGATCAATATTCCCACTTGGTGCTACAGAATTCTCCAGCCCCAGCCTCTGAGAACTGAAGGACAACTCCTTGAAATGAGTAGATTTGGTAAGAAAAAACCCCCAAACTCAGGGTATGCTATTCATTTGTTATTTGTTATTCTAGTAATTCACATTTTGTTCAGTTAGATTTGAGTCCAGTAGCACCTTAGGAGCTTTGGCTCTCGAAAGCTCACACTCTGAAAATCTGGTTGGCCTCTGAGGTGCTTGGGGTCTCGTTGGCCTCTGCTTTGTGTCTCTCCTAGCTTTCATTGCCTTCTCAAAGCGATTGGTGTTTTTGCTCCATCATGCCTGTGAGCTGGCGGTACTGGCTCTGGGAAGCACTCTCTTCCGGCCCACCTCTTGAGCAAGCAAGCACTACCTGACTTTGAGTCAGACCCGTCACCTACTGCCTGATCCTTTTAAGCAGAGATGCTTGGGATTGAGCAGCGCTGGCTCTCACTTGCTCGTTTCCTTGAAGGCTGATTGCTGGAGCCAGGAGTGAGGGCCGACTGGCAGATGGGGGTGGAGACATTATAGTGTGGAGTAGTGGTCCGTGGCCTCCATCCCCAGAGCTCTAATGGGGCAAGCCTGGAAGTTGTGTGGCCAGAGAGGTCAGTTCTTTTATGCCTCCGCTGCCTCCAAACTGCTAAGTGGGAGGCCAGGCAGTGCCATGCTAGGGAGCCTGGTTTGGCCAAGGGGCCTCCAGTTCATGATCCTTTGATCAAAACAGTGGCTTGAATAGATCTGAAAAGTGAGAATATTGTCAGAATTACCCCTGCAGGGAGAATCTGACAAAGGTTAGAATATGGCACAGACTTTTTAAAACAGAGAGTACAGAAAGACCTGTAGTTTGTTGTCAAGCTAGAGCAAGATGACTGATCTCCCCAGTCCTGCTGAAAAAACACCAGTTCTTCCTAATGTGTGTGACAGTCCAAGAAGAAATGTGATGTGGAGTTACTCATTAATTAAACCCAGGAGATCTGCCCCAGGTTTCCACTCCTCAGGCAACAAGATCTGTCCTGCAAACTGGGGCCTGTTGGGTTCGTCTCTCTTTGCAGAACTCCCGCTTTGCCTTTCCTCTCACACAGGAGGGAGATGGCTCCCGGCCAGTTTCACAGCCCAGTGACAGATGGGCTGGATTTGGGTTCTTGGCCAGAGGGGAGTTCTCCATGTGACTCTCTCTTGCCTACTTCTCTGCCAAGGGAAAAAGTAACTCAGCTTGCTCATCCCGAGGGTGGGTGGGTGGGTGGGAGGAAGGGGGCCTTGTTCTCCCTTGATACCATAGAGTGCACTGTGGTAATAAAACTAATGGGGCTTCTGGTTCCAGTGGCACCGAAAGCCTAAATCACTAAACTGAGAGGAGCTCTGGGGCACATGAATTAAAGCCTTGAGTCTGCCTTAGTAATTCCAGAAGGGTAGCCGACAAATGCTCCCTCTAAGCTGTGGAGTCCTGTGAGCAAAAATTCTACTTTGTGAGCTACTGGCATCAAAGTTGCGATCGAGCAAATTGGCCGCTGCATAAATTAGTTTGTTCTGGAACCATCCTTCTTGATCACACTAACTCAGCTTAGAGGGAACATTAGTAGCCATATGTTAGTCTGTTCCTGCATAATTCAGCAGTGGTCCAGTGTCACCTTAAAGCCTAACAGCCTTTATTCCAGCTGTAGCCACTGGACTCCTGTTTAATTAGGTCTGCCATTAGAATTCCTTTGCTCTAACAGCCAAATGCAGATGTGTTTTGCTAGGCATATAATGCATGGGACAGTGGTTGCATGTCTGAATGCTTCTCCTACATATGGAAAAGTAGCTTGAATGTACACATGCAGCAGAACAGGGTGGTAGAGCAAACTGTGCTGTTTCAAACCATAGTTTTCAATTGCCTCCACTATGTAACAACTCCCAGTGAGCACAAAACTAGAATATCATGGTGCTTCTGGACAGTCTTCAAAGGCTACCCCACGATGATTGTATTGCAGTAGTTTAACCTAGAGGTGCTAAGACCATAGATAATTGTGGCCAGATCATGCCTTGTAGTCATCTACATGCTGTGGTCAATTTCTACTTGCAGGGACTTCAGTACATAAATGGCAGTCTGCAGTTTCAAATAGCCCACTTCACTGTACTGCTTCTTCCCCACCATCCTGTTGCACGTTTAGACCTGGAAAGGTAGGTCGAACCATGATAAGAGTTTTTAGTGGACGCGGGGGAAGCATTTAGAGTCACATTGCTTCCTTCTGTTAAAGAGTCCAGAGGAAGCACAATCGTCCCATAATTCTACAGTCACAGAGGCCATTCAGTGCAATCTTCTGCCTCCAACAAATTAGTCTACATAGTATGCTGCTAGAACACTGCAGGTCCATGCTGCAGGAAACATGTTTAGAGAGCAAAACAGTTCTGAAATGACTTTGAGAAGGGATTAAGCCAGGCTATGCACTCAGGGTTGGCTCGCCCGCTAGGCGAACTAGGCGCTCGCCTAGGGCATGCCGGCCCTCAGGGGTGCCAAACTGCGCCCTCCTCCTCCTGCGGGCTCTCCTTCTGCTACCGCCGCCGTCACCTCCGCGGCCCGCCAGTCGGCCGGGCACTTCTCTGCCTCTTCAGGCAGCAAGGGGGGGAGTAGGGAGCATGCGCGGAGGCGACTGGCCGGGCTGGGGGGGGGCGGCGCACTCCTGCCTGCCTGCCAGTCCCTCCTCCCTCCTCCTGCTGTGGGCTCTCCTCCTGCTACCGCTGCCACCGCCACCTCCTCCTCCGCTGCCATGGCCCGCCAGCCAGCCGGGCACTTCTCCGCCTCTTCAGGCTGCCGGGCGGGGTGGGGGGAGAGTAGGGAGCCTGTGCGGAGGCGACCAGCCGGGCTGGGGGGGCGGCGCACTCCTGCCTGCCGGGTGGCCCCTCCTCCCTCCTTCTCCTGCGGGCTCTCTCCGGAGAGCTCTCTGAGCCCAACCTACCTCACAGGTGCTCTCTCACCCCCCAGGCGGCCAGCTGGGAGATCTCCAGGCCCCACCGGAGGTTGGAGGGCACCACGAGGCGGCCTCGCCTAGGGCGCACAAACCCCTTGGGCCGGCCCTGCACTTTGTGAAGACACAAGGATTGGCTACAGAATCAGAGCAAGCTGTGTCCAGTGTTCCCTCTAAGCTGAGTTAGTGTGAGCTAGCGCACAGTTTTTTGGCCTCTGGCTCACACATTTTTGTCTCAGCTCAGGAAGGATGGCTCCAGAGCAAACTAATTTATGCAGCAGCCAAATCACCTGCTCACAACTTTAATGCTAGTAGCTCAGGACTCCACAGCTTAGAGGGAGCCTTGACTGGGTTCAGGGCTGGCTCACCCGCTAGGCAAACTAGGCATTTGCCTAGAGTGTGGGCCGGGCCCTTAGGGCGCGGGAGGAAAGGCAGGGGTAGCTGCAGGAGACCAGCACGCTCTCGGCACTAGGAGCTGGAGGAGTGCCCTCTCCATGGAGCCAGGAGCCACAGCGCCCCCTCGAGCCAGCCAGCCGGCAGCGGCATCGCACTCCCAGGAAGTGCCAAGGTTCACCACCCTCAGAGGCCTCTGCTCCACCTCCTGCGCCCACCCGCCTTCCTGCCTCCCTTCCCTCCCTGCTGCACCGCAGTTGGCACCCCAGGGGGGGCCTTGGAACCGACCTCTCGCCTGGACTCGGAGAGGCTGCCCAAGCGGCAGCAGCCTTTCCCCAGATTGTACCAGCTGGGTGGAGGGGGGTGGGCGGGTGCTCCTGGCAGTGCGCGGTGGCGGCAACGGGGCTGGGCGGCCGGAGCAGTGGTGGCATGGCGCGCAGGATGGGCGGCCGCCTCTTCCCACTGCTGCTTGCCTCGATGGTGGTGCTGCTGCTGGGTAAGAAGACGGGACCGGGATAGGGCTGGCTGCCGGCGTCTGTGCCGGGCGCCCCATCGGCTCAGGCTCTGCAGCGCTGCCCTGTCGGAGGAGGAGGCGCCGTGGCAAGGCCCAAACAAATGCCTGCGGGGTGCACTTTAGTGGGCGGAGCCCCTGCGCAAGCCCCGGGACTGATCGGGCTGCGCAGGAGATGGAGTTCCACTAGGAAAAGGCTGAACCCCTGCCGGGATCGGCAGCACTCCAGCCACGCAACACGCCTGCCGTCTTCCTCCTCCTCAGAGGAGGCACAGCGGGCACTTTGCCGGCAAGGCCCAGGGAGTGGGTGGCAAAGCCAAGCTCCCCCCCGAGGCACCGCACGCCAGCTGGGAGGTCTCCAGGCCCCACCGGGAGGTTGGCATTTGCGCTCGCCTAGGGCGCAGGAACACCTCGGGCCGGCCCTGGCTGGGTCCATCTCCTTCAGCATCCAGTGGTCAGCCAGATGCATTTGGGCAGCAGCCCTGCTTTGCTGCTTGCACCTCAGTAGCTTGTACAGAGAGACAGACTGCCTCTGAATACAGCAGTTCCACTGGTGGACTGAAGCTCTATTCATTTGTATAATCCTTTGATTCACGTGCACACACCCATATACCACCCTGGCACAGACTTCCTATTTGCAGCAGTGGCCACCTAGAATACTCATGGGTAGCTGGCCAACAGGCAGGAGGGCAACAGCAATCCCTTGTCGTCTGTCCCTAGCATCTGGTATTCAGAGGTATCAGATCTCTGAATATGAGGGTTTCATTAAGTTATTGTGACTAATAGCCATTTTCCTGCCTTACAGTATCCAATGGCAGGCAATGATATCTTCAAAGTACACTTGGGGAGGAAAATCTTTAGATCATTCATGGGATTTTAGGAGCCCCTCCTTGACCACAATGTGCCACGAGCATGATATCCTTAACATGTTTCTCAAACACCTAAGTATGAAGGTTAGCCTTCCTCAGTTATCAGGGGAGAGAACTTGGCCCATGCTCAGAAGCATTCTTCTACATGGCACTATAAAGAGGATTTCCTAGCAAAGTCTTGGCAAGACTGGCC